AGGGGGGTGGGGAGTTTAGGGTTTAGGGTTTGTTCGCTTCCTTTCAGCTGCCTAGGAAGGGACGGAAGTCGAACGCGCGAGGCTGCTGCTTCTAGAGCCCTCGCGCGATCGTCTCTCGCCCCGTTCTTCTCCTGAGAAGACCCCCTTCGAACACCGATTTAGGCTCACACTGTACGCATCCCAGATTCGAAGTGTTGACCTCGGTACAAACCTTGTTCCCTGTTGCGGCTATATTGAACATGATCATGGTTCATCCCTCTTGGGCTTTATTATAACAAACATGTAAAGTTGCGGCCAACAAGGACCCAGAAACATTCGGGTGAATCGCAGCTCTCCTCTTGGCTGCAAGAACTCCCGGCCCGAGCAATCCTCGACTTCCTGCATCACCTCCAGGACCAGCTGCGCTTTGCCTTGAACCCCCAGGTGCCCGCTTGAGTCGATAGCAGCACCGTCAGAGACAGTAGCATCTACCAAGGCGTAGAAACTGTAGAAGTACATAAGACACAGGTCCCTCCCTTGACCCTCCCGGCCGCCGCTACTTTTCAGTCCAAGATCTCCCTCTTCATACCGCCCGAATATGTCACCCTTGTTCGTCGTCTTACAACGACACCAGAACCATCGTCCTCAACATTCATCATGTTCATCTGAGTCTTATAGTTTGTTATCCCATCATCATCATGGCCATCATCAGCATCATCATCTTCAGCTGCAACACCTTCAGCAGCACCATCATGCTCATCGTCTTCTCAGCACATCGTCATCCTCCTCGTCGTCATCATCATCCCGGCCCCAGAAGCCCCGCCTTCGCCACGGCGGGCGGCGCGGCTCCGGAGCGCCGCCAAGGCCGGCCAGAGATTCTCCTCGGGTCGGCCCGCGCATGAAAAACACACCAAAAACCTCAAATCCCTAAGCCCTAAACCGTATTTCCCCGATAAACTTAAAAGCTAATCAAATACAAAAGTGTATATGTATGTACATGTATAATATTGATATGTATTTATTATTCATCTATAAATGGTATAAACCCTAAGCCCGCAACTTTAATCCCAGGCGCAGCACGATGACCGGTGACTCTTCTCAAGATTCATGCTGAGAAAAATCTAGGGCCTTCTGGCACTAGTGCTGATAATGCTGTTGAAGCGGATATGCGATGATGAGGACGGTCGTGATGATGATGATGGTGATGATGATGATGATTCGCGGCTTCTGGCTCCACCCCGATGCAAGGTAGCTCAGCCTCCAGGCTGCAAACTTGTCATCACAGAAGATGTAGAGCTCAAGCTTCCCTCGTGATTACTCCGCGTCGGTTTGATGGTTTCCCTCTGGTCTTCGCGAGGGTGGCGATTCGTCGTGGCAGCAGGCAGCCAAGATCTCCGCAAGCCCTGGAAGGGCTCCCGAAGTCCGCGCAAGAGGGCCGGGTGGGTTTGCGGTCTGTCCAAACTTTACTTTTTAGGCCTCGCCAACAAATCGAAAAGTGCCTGAACCTCAATTCCAAGCACTGACTTCTAGTATTCTGAATCTGGAGCCTTGACTCTGAGACCCGGAAAGACAGGGCTCGACGCCGCTGCAGCCGAAGAAATCGTTGCTGACGAAACTCTGCTCAAGGCAGATCCTTCAAAGGCGTTCCCAACTTGAATTTATGAATCTGTTATATATTATATACCATATTATATATTATATATTACAGATTATAGAGTATAGAATATGAATATATTATATATATATATATTAATTATGGGCCTTTGAGGTTTGGAGCCTCTCTGCTTTCTAAAGGCCTGTCTGCTCTGCTGTGACGAGATTGCGGTTGGGGTCCCAAGAAGAGCTGCCACTGTGCCGCGATGAAATATGATCTACCCATGGTGGAAACATGGATGAACAGGCCCCCGTCCCTCAGTACGTATCCTTACTAGAGCTCTTCATAGTACGTAGTGCCTTCCAAGGAAAAAAGGGTTCAAAAACTCAGGGCCTACCCACTCTATTGAACCAAGTGTTGCTGAAAGACTCCTCTGCTGGAGCTCCTCGTCTGGTCTAGAGGTGGACCCCGTAAAGGATGGTGGTTTAAGGTTTGAGGTTCCGGGTTTGGGTTTCGGGTCTAGGGTCTACGGTGTTTAGGGAAGTTTAAGGGGTTTAAGGCTTTTCAGGCAAGGCTTCCTTTTGAGGTCCCTTGATCTTCTTCCCTTCAGGGGATCCCTTGGTTTCCTGAAACTTCAAATCAAAGCCAGGCTCGGAGCAAGAATAACCCGGATCTGTGCACAGACAGGTTGAGACTTTATGGTGGTTGGGGGGTCTCGGGTCTTGAGGAATTTCGAGCTTTTCGGATGGAGGGTTGAGGGCCAAGGCTTTCAGGTTTTGGGGTGTAGTGACGATTACGACGTGATTTGATCTGGGCGTGCCCACTCCAGCGGGCAGTCGCTCAACTCCAGGAAGGCCGTGTAGAGGTTCCGGGCGGTCTCAGCGGGAGCTGGCAGAGTTTACGTGGCTTGGGGGCCATGGGCTTCGGATTCGATAAGCGAATCTACGAACCAAACAAGTAACAAGCTGAAGTAATAAGTAATGCAGGGGCCTTAATGAGTAGAATAGGGTTGTGGCGTACATTTCTCAATGGTATTGGCAATTAGTAACTACTGTATTCATGAAGCTGGCAGGACACAGAAAATGATGGACACCCCTGCCTGGCGAAGTGTCTCCAGCTCGCTGGCCCTGCTGCTGGGAGCCTGGAGAGAGTGCTCCTGGGCTCCAGGGCCAGTGACCGAGGGTGTCGGACTCTTTTCAAGGCCTGCCCGGGCTTTTAAGATTTAAGGGCCCTTTTGGGTATGGCTACGGAAGTTCGACGGACACTTCTCCGAAGATCGCGTAGGCTGCGGTCGCATCCCCGTCAAAAACAGCAAATAGAAGCAGCTTAGTCTCCAGCTTGCTTGCAAGCACCTGGAAGATGTCTCCCCAGTAATCCTGCACTCGACGGACTTTGCACCAGTGTGTTCTAGAAGCATTGAGCACCAAACACAACCGGCTCAAAATATGGATTGCCAATATGATTCAATTATCAGTATGCAAACACGACGATCAAATCAGCAAGAACAAAGCGGATGACACTGAGACCTCGCGACCTGGAACAATCCGAACTGGCGAAGCTCCTGCACCACGAAGTCCAGTGCCTGGTAACAGTGAGCTTTTGGAAGGGTGGTGGTATCACAAGATCGGGACTTCCTTATATGGCTCCAAAAACATTTGAGAACCGAAACGCATGCAAACGCATACACCCCCAACACAAGATGTTGGGCCTGTGCCGGCGGGGTCTCGCCCTCCAACCTCGGTACACTTGATAATTAGAAAACTGTCCCTGTATAGTCCCTAGATAACTCTGCTACAGCATCCCGCCATGGTCCCAATAAAGGTTGTTTGCCCCCAACAACCTAGTCTTGCTTGAAGGAGTTCCCTTTGACATGTCTGATGCAATCGAAGCCTCCTCTCCTTGGGTTTACCGGCGCCTCGTTTGGAACACCACGGGGTCAGGCTGGGATGTAGACATTTCGGGATAGAACTTTTAACTTGAACCGTCCATGGAATCGAAGAAACAGATTCCGGCGAAGAGCCACATCATCGACCTGGCTGTGCAGGGAGTCTCACACGGAATGAATAAATTCGAAGTACTCTTCCTTCATAATTATCGGCCCTATACAATGTTACTACAATGCACCAGGCCGTGCGTGCAATCTGTCTTGAAACCTGACGCTCCGATCGCTGAGCTCAGTCGCCTCGCGCAAGTGCGCGATAAGACGTGGCAAGTCCGCAGTGCGGAAAAACAGCGCCTCGGCAAAAAGGGCTGAGAGAATCCGGACCAGTAGCGCAGGGTTTACAAGAGCACCAGGGGCGAATGTCGAATGATGCTGAGAAACAGAGGCAATCACATGCAGAGCTCTGCTACTTCAGCTGGCGCTGGCTATGCCTGCAAAGCCTTTCTTGCGAGCTGGATACCACAACGGAAGTGCCGGAATATTGATACATAGTTGCGCCAAGGGGCGACATCGCGCCAAGGAATATGGTTCTCCTTTAGCCAGGCCGTCTGTTGACTTGTGACATCAGTACACGGTGACGGCGATGGGGCTTTAGTATGATTCAATGTATGACAGCCAGACCCGTCGCTACAACAACATATCACAATGTGGAACAACGCTTCACATAATACAACAATATACCAGCACTGTACAACAAAACGACGTGACCCGTAACAACCTGGGAGACAACGCAGTAAGTCCGTTAGCACGGGATCAGTTGAGTCCAAGCACCAGCGGCGGGTGGAAGTCGTCAGATACGATCACCTCAGAAGAGCTATTGTTCGCAATATTCGATTCCTAAAAAACCACTACTAGAATCACTATGAGGTTTACTCCTACTGTTATTCCTCTTATCGTTCTTCTTATGACATAGCAGGTTGAAGGCTACGTTTTTTAGTACTACCTAAACCCTAAACCCTAAACCCTGAACCCTAAACCCAAAACCCTGAACCCTAAACTCAAAACCCAAAACCCTGAACCCTAAACCCTAAACCCTAAATCCTAAACCCCGAACCCCTCATCTCCAGGCGCCATTCCCATTACCTACGAAGGGAAGCCATGGGCCGCGTCTTGGCCGAAGCTCTTTCAC